TTAGAGTAGCGTAGTATATAAAAGTAAACATAATTCTAAGATAACATGTTTTACAAGCGAGTAACGCGTACAAGCGAGTGACGCACCCTACTAACTTTGCGCACCTCTACACGCGTATATCTTAACTACCTTACAAGATAATATATAGATATTAATAGAGCAGATTAAGCAGTATCTAAGGTATCTTTCTTGCACGTACGAGAGTTATGTCTAGTCTCTCTGCACTTCTTACAGCGCGCGAGAGCCTAGCGGCTCACGCCTGATCGCTCTCCTTCTTAACGCTGCTCACAAGCAATCTGCTGATCAGCCTTACGTTAAGCGAGTATATCCTTACTAGCTCCCTTTATTAAGACTCCTTGCTATTGTATACGCTTTTTTTTACGCTGTTTACGCGCTAACGCTGCCTTATTAGCCTTTTTAAGGCTAGCAATCTAATTGCGCATTAGCTTAGCTAAGAGTATTATTACCTTAGCGCCCTTTTTAAGCTAGTTAATCGCCTAAATAATTAAAGCTAGTAATAAGCTCTTATGCCGTCACACGCGCTTACGTATTAACGTTAATTAAGCTTTAAGCTCGCGTACGTTGCTCGGCGTACAAGCTTCCTAAGAAGCCTCTGTTAGAGCAGCTAGAGTAGGCGTACAGAGCTGCACGTCTAGCTTCAAGAGGACAGCGTCTGGCTAGAGAGGAACAAGGCCTGCGCTGCGGAAAGCTAAGCAGATATTAGCTAGCGTAAAAGCTTAATTAAACGCTGTCTTAAACGCTAGGAGAAACTTAAGCTTTATAATATAGTTAATATAGTAGCAGATTAGGCTCTCTACCTTACAGCTGTACGCGCGCTTTAATAGCAAGAAACAGCTAACATTAAGAGGCTAGAGTAGGTGAGATAAGTAAGGTAGTATACAGAGCGTGTAGATATTATTCTCTTTGCAGAGCTCTTAAAACTTAAGAGAGTAGTAGCTCTTATAGCTATTAAAGACGAGCAGGCAACGCGCACTAACAACGCAAGTCTTCGTATAAGCGTTAAAGTGCTTTAGCTACTCTACTTCTAGCTTATTATTTATCTAGCTGTTGTTACTAACTGCGATCGCCTAGTTGCGTAGGATATCCTCCTTATACTAGGCAGACAGGTAATACTAGCTAGCGAAGATAAGGAATAGTAAGACTAACTAGCTAGCAGCGTTAATCGCCGCGATTAACATTACCTACTTGCGATTACTAGGCTAGATAGCCTTTAGCCTGCCTCTTCTCTCTAACCCTGTTATAATAAGCTAAGTTGTAATCTTGCCTATTATAAAGCCGGCCTTGTTAAAGTTGTATACGTTACTATTGTAGATGCTGTACTTAGCCTTTGTCTCCTCTATAAGCTTAAACTAGCTCTTAATTAGAGCTAAATCCTTGCATAGAGCTCGCTGCCTATTATACGCTTAATTAAAATATGTTGTAAGACTGTCTGTACGCTTGTGAGGCGTAACTGTAGGCAATAGTGCTTGCTTCACGTTACTAAGGATAGTGGGAGATAGCTCATGTATTTAGACTACAGGTGTAGGTTGTAAAGAGAATAATCCTGACCTCGCTCTACAGAGCGAGGCGCGCCTTATAAGCAGGTTTAGCGCGTACTCTGTTCCTTCGAGGGACGTGTGTCTCGAGCCCTCGTTACAACGCTTAACAAAGTTGCGCGGCTAGTAGACGCTAACCTAACTAGCGCTGCGCGCAGCTAGTAGCTTATTAGCTATATTACGTACAGCTTTATACGTAGGCGCAAATCTACGTGCGTCTAAGTTAAGTATATACCTAACAATTACCTCCTCCTCTCTCTAGGTAAGCTTCCTTGAATTAGGCTAGCAATTAGGTTAGGCAGATACACTAGCGCGCCGGCGCTTAAGCGTTGTTCGAGAGACTTCGTACATCCGCGCGGCGCCTCTATAAGACTAGATCTAGCCTTAACTAATAGCTAAAATTGCTAGTTGTATATTAGCCTTATAGGAAACGTTTTAGGCTTAATTTAGTGGAGCTATAGTTGATAAAAGTGCAAGAGGTGCGCAAAGTTAGTGGGGTGCGTTACTCGCTTGTACGCGTTACTCGCTTGTAAAACATGTTAGTAAGAGTTAAAGGCTATGCTTTGCAGCTAATAGGTTATAATAGCTCTAAGTTATATTTTAAGACGTAGAGGATAATAATAAGCATAGTTCTAGAGAAATAAAATGCTATACAATTTATAAATTAGTTGTTTAGACAGCGTTAGAGGTAAAGAGAAAAGTATCTAGCTACGCCGTATCTTAACCCTGCTAATTAAGCATTAAAAACAGCCTATTTACAGTAGCTTATAGGCTTTTCCTAATGCAACAATAGCACACGCATTATAATTGCTAAGTCCTAACATGAGTGGCCCCGAGTACCTCCCCACTTGTTGGGGTAACAGTGTGGGTCGAAGTCTTCCTTCGATCGATCCTTCGGCGCTGTGTTTGTAAGCTCGCTCTTGTAGTTAGCCGAAACGCGACAAGACCGCGAACGGATTTGTCACGATATGGTTAGCCTGGCAAGGAGAAGCAGCATTGCAAATCTGATATCTAGTCAGTGTCAACACCATGCAAAGTAAAAGAAATCATCCCGATACGCACAGTGTCCGTCAACGTTGATCATACTCGTACCTACTTTGACAATCTGCAGCTGTTCAGAATCGCTTCAAGATAGCCTACCATGTCATCATCTGATACCGAAACCGTCCTGGTAGTTGGAAGCACAGGCAACATCGGCGTAGCAGCCGTGAAAGGCGCTCTCAACTCAAAACGCAACGTTCTAGCGATCGTCCGAAACCAAGCTTCCGCCGACAAGCTCATCAGACATGTCGGATCATCGCAGGGGATCACCTTTGCAGAAGCCGACATCTCGTCCGACACGGGTGTTCAAAGTGTCGTCGAAAAGGTGCGAGAAGGGCAACTACCAGCCTTCCAGCACGTATACTCTTGCGGTCAGTCCCGATCGACTCGTTTCCATCCTCACATGTCCGCTAATCAATTCCTCTCCCCCTTCAGTCGGCGGCGAATACGTTTCCACTCCCCTTACGGAAATCACAACGGAACAACTACGCTACAACTTCAACATTGCCTTTGAGGCGAATTTCTGTAAGCCGCAGTCCTTCCAATGATAAGAGGAGGGGTGGACCTCTGCTTAGCAATCATTCGCAGTCGCCTACCGCGCCACCGTTCCCTATCTCCTTGCTCAGAAGCATCCCACCAGCACCTGGACTCTCTGCACTGGCGCGCAGGGCGAAACTGCCTTCTTTCCTGTACCAGGCATGACGCAAGGCGCCCTGTTTACCATGAGCACGGCCGCAGCCCGCGAGAACGAGAAGACGAATGTACGGTTCAATGAAGTGTATCTTTGCTTTCGGGTCGAGGTTGATGAGCAGGCGGAGAAGCATGGGGTTACGAACGCATCGGAGTTTGCAAAGGTGTACGAGAATCTATTGGGCGATGAGGAGGTGAGGGGGGCGAGGGTCACGGTGCGGGAGGTGGGTGATATTGGAAGGTTGGTGTGGCAGAGGAAGTTTTGAGCTGGATGGAAAGAGGAGTTGGGGTTGCAGGATGATGGATATGGGCAGAGTGTATGGGATCTGCTAGCATGGGCCTGGGTGAGAAGTCTACGTAGCGAATATAGATCGACTATGATGTGGCTCTTCTTACATCAATTACGGGCTGAGAGTTCTGACGACATGTAACATGGAGAGTGAGATTCTGTTCACAGGCACTGATGTCTAGAAGAAGGTCAGACAACAGGCATATCTACCACTACTCTCCAGATGTAGAGATCGAATGCAGAAGCAATCCTGCTCATGTACTAAGTTATGTTGGTATATCTCAACATGTGTTTCCTTTTAGACAGATCTTTATTATAGTTCTCCCTTAGCTATGTTACGCACTGGAATACTTCAGGCCCTGGGATATCGTACGGTAGTTGGTTGTAGATGCTGTATACAAGACCAGCATCCTTACTATCATATGCGCCTGGGAAGCTCACCAGGCCCGCCGTCGGCACTGTCGAGCCATCGCCAGTGACCTCTAGCTGGTGGCATCCGGGATAGAACTGCACTCCCCCCTCGTTATACGCGCTGTGCAGCGCAATAATTTCGTGACGCACAAGGTAAAAGCCTGGCCTCAGACATGCTGGAATCGTGTAGTTCACGCCGGCATTTGGTGCGTTGATAAGTGACGTCATACCCCATTGGTTCTTGAGCCACTCTGGGTCGGTGGAATGCAAGCCATCCTCTGCGATCTTGAACCAGGTTGGCGCCAAAGAAGAAGAGGGGACGTAGTCGTTGCAGCCTTAAAATACCCTCATTATAATTCGCTCTTTGTATCATCGATTGACAGGACATGCTCACCAGTGTCAGGACATCTCGCCATGTACGTTATCACAGGACCCTGATGACTCTCTGGCCACGCTGTCCAGCGTAGATTAACAGTCGACCCAGCTGCCGCTGGAGCATGCAAAGGAGCGGGCCGTGATCCGATAATTCCGCCAGTGGTATTGCCACCACATTCAAGGTCTATGAGCTTCACGTTTTCAATAGGGAAGTTGCCTTGAATTTCGCGAGAGATGCGGGGTGGCTGTTCATTGTTAGTATGTTGTTTACTCAGCTTCCAAGATAGACCCACAGCAGGGTTCATGTAGGGATCCTGATAAGGCTTTTGATCTCGGTCAGCAACTGTGATGTCTTCTCTTGGATGGCGGATTAATTACGTGATAGAACTGAACTGGATGTTAGTGACAACAGTTCCGCTTTGTGTCGCATCTATTTACATACATCATACTCCTTCCCTCCGATTGTTGCATTCTGGACGAAGCCATGGCCAACCACGAGAGGTGGGATGAAAAAGAAAAACAAGTACTGCCTCATGATGCAAGATCTCGTTGCACGACAATGCGAGTGCTCTCGTACTTCGTGCCGTACTTATGCGCAGGTCACAATCATGCATGAACCCAGTCAATCGAGCTTTGCATCCGTAAGCTGTGCTTTACGATTGGTGGCGTAATATGCACGGAAACCCTACTGTAATCGCGTTTCCAGCAGATAGTGCTGCTGTTTAATCAAAGTGCTGTTCAAATTGATTTCTGAGAGTTTAGCCGTCCAGTGTAAGGCCAGTTTACCGGCGTGAGTCAACATCAGCCGCCGTGGCGATCATCAAGCTCTATCTACTGCATACGGTCATTAGCACAATTCATCGATGTAGGAAATTCCACTGGCAATAAAAGGTACGCATGTCTACAAACAGACGATCGTATCGCTCATCCGGGAGCTATGCAATAGAATCCGCCGACTACTATCCGAACGGCATGAGCAACCGTGATCAAAACGTTCAAGACCCGCTTCAACGCACCCAGATTGTATTTCACCTGCGAAGCAATAGTCCTTCCATTGCGCTGTTCAAGGCTAGACGTAGTTATACCCGCCTAGTAAGCTTCTCTTGTTTTTAAGATCTTGTCCGCTATCTTCTCCGCAAACATGTATACTGAAGCCTGCGGATGCCCAGGCAGACTGAAAGGAAATACTGAAATATCAACTACTCTTAACCCTTGTACACCGAAAACGTTTGCCTGCGAGTCCACCACAGCTCCTCTCCCTGGTGTCTTACCCATCGAGCATGTAGAGCTTGCATGCCATATGGGTTGAGCGTTTTGCTTGATGAAGTTCAAGATGTCTGCATTCGTATTGATGTTGGTGCCGGGCGCGATTTCTGGACCGGCGATTATTCCAACAAGTGCAGGACTGTCCCAAGCTTCCCTCACTCGCTTGAATGCAGCGACCATGACTTCTTCATCTGCTGGATCAGTAAGCCAGCCCAAGTCGATGATGGGTTGATCCAAAATCGATGCGCTAAGAATCGTTGCATTACCTCGCGAGGATGGTGTAAGAAGTGTGCCGCTGATCGCGCCGATGGTGGGGAAGTCGGGATTCCCGCTAGGGAAACCAGTCGCGATATATTCTATCCCCGGCCAGTCAAACGGAAATTCTGATAGAGCTGCCTCCGTTCGAGACGAGAAGTTCGCACGATAGTTCAGCGGTAATTTCTCGAAAGAGAGATAACCACCAGCCGAGCTGTATGGACCCGAGGCATTTGTTGAATACTGCTGGAGAGCTATTGCCTGTTGGATGGCTGTAATGAGGTATGCTCCGGTGCTTGGGACGGTAATACTGCGAAGCACATTGAAGAAGATTTGATCCCAAAGATTTTGGCCTACGCCGGGGAGATCGGCTACGACTGGTATAGCGTGTTCCGAGAGAGTTGCTGCAGGCCCAACACCTTCACTAATCAGCACACAAACAATCAAAAGATCATGGAGTATTTCTCACCAGATAGCATAAGAAGCTGTGGAGAGTGAAACACACCAGCCGAAAGAATGACTTCTTTCCTTGCTGATATCGTGTACTCGTCTCCTTCTGATAGCACTGCTACAGCGATGGCGTTCTTGTCCTTGTCAAATATCACTCTGCTGGCTTGGGAATGCAGATAAATGGTCAGTTGCAACATGCCTTCACCTTCCTTTTCATCAAGATAGCTGCTTTTGGAAGTACTTCTTGTCGCATGTTTTGGGTCGATGGTTGTGGGCACCCAAGCTCCACCGTTCAAGCTACCGCTGCTGAAACCATCGACACTCAGCTTCTGCCCGACTACTTGCAATGCTCTTACGAGCCAACTCTGGGCTGGATCAACCCAATTAGCCCACGATACTTGGAGAGGGCCTTGGAGAGCGTTGTCAAACGCTGAGTCGTTGTATCGCACCGTCGCATTCGGCGCATTGCGTTTTGCGAGGTCAGGGGGTGTGATAGTAGCGGACTTCTTGAAGTACGGCAAGACCTTGTCGTATGTATAACTTTGATCACCGACCAAATCTGCCCAGCGCTGGTATGAACCAGCAGTGGCCCGATGATAAGCCATTGTGTTGATCGCCGAGCTTCCTCCAAGCGTTTTGCCCTGTGCATAGTGTATGCGACGATTGCCAGCGGCGGATTGCGCAGTCGACAACAAGTCCCAGTCTATCAGTGATTGGGGAGGATATGCTTCGCTTGTGCCAAGCACAGGCATAATGAGGCCATGATATGGAACCACAGATTGATTGCCATTGTCTTGCTCATATCGGCCGCCGGCTTCCAGAACCGCTACTGATGCAAATTCGGACAGGCGAGACGCTATCGCTAGGCCAGCTGTACCACCACCGACAACTACCAAAGTTTGCTCTGTTAGGTAGTGTTCTTTAAGCAACGTAATGAGAAGTTGTAGACTGGGATTAGCATACCAACATAATCGTAAGTAGCATTTGCTGAAACACCTTCGAATATCTCCCGCTTCTGCGCAGATGTTTCAATGACGAGGCTACATAACGCTACCCCTATGAACTGCAGACGTTTCACCATAGCTACTTCATACAAGACGAGAAAGAAGTAAACATAGCAAGGCAAGGCGAGACGAAGATTGAAGGGAAGAGTACGGTCAGCGCCGACCAACACGGGCCGATTGCGATGCTGGAGAGAACATACCCCACCGACGGCACGTACGATGCATGAAAAACAAACACGAGCTACCTAGCCCTGTTACGAGACCATTAAGAGCTCGATAGTTCAGATTGGCGCTGTAGTTGGTTTATATGGCGCAAGCTCCTGAGGATGAGCGGCGAGAACCGTGAACGGACTGTGATTCAGTAGGAGCGCATTTGCCGCAATCAATTCCTGTCCGCAAGTCACACAATTCGTAAATGGGGTGGAATAGAAGAAGTTAGGACAAGGTAGGGGTTGGGTGTTAGTCACTGCAGGTGGATACAACCGATTAGCCAATGGAAGGATGACCGGTTGGGGTCTAGAATTAGCTTGTTGCGCACCCTGAACCGACCTTCTCAGCCTGTTATTTCCACCTCTTTTTACGATTTTGGTCGCGTTACGTTTCTCAAGATCTGGTTTACCGTCGACGACGTGATCCTGCCTTGTCCTTGAGACTCAAAAGTCACCGAGAGGACTTTCTTTCACGGTCGCTTAGCTGGTACATTGTATGGGATCCGGCATACTTCAGGGCTATTTCTGCCTCCAGCTCGTCGCATGAGTTCTGGCTCGCACCTTTTTGAAAACCAAATGGCTTGTTTCCAAGGCACGCAATTGATCGTCACGGATGTGTACGTAGGGATGCACACGGATTCAATCGGATGGCGAGTGCGAAAGGTCATAGTATTAGTACAATTGGTGATGGTAAGAAGCCGTTGGCACTGTGCAGTACACGATGTTTGGAACACCGCGGATTGTGGAAGTGCTAGCGGACGATGAGGGGTTACCTTCAATCCAAGGTCCTTGGCAATGGAAGCGGGGCACATCTGGAGATCACCCCCGAAAGTTGGTCGTCGCGCAAAGCTTGGCTCTCAGCACAATAACCCGGAGCCATCCTTGCGTGTTTACGTAGATATCCCAGGTTCTGACTCAAGAACAAAAGATTAAGAACATGCTAAGTAGAAGTTTTGCTTTCGTCCTATACATCCTTGTTCGAATTGCGCCGCTCGAGAAGAGGTATATGCGGCGTTTAGGTTTAACTGCTGCCTGACGGGCTGTGTCTTGAGACGGTAAGATGCTATCGTGTGCGCTGACATGCAGCTACGCGATGCCACTCGGCTTCTACGCGCTTCACTCGTCCGTAGCGGTTTTCGTGCATGTATGTCACATGTATATGGCGTCGCTGAGGAAGAAGTCCTGGGGTTTCCGGCCGATTCGTCCGCTCGTTGCAGCTGCGCCTTGTTGGCATACGCCCTGCATCAACATCTTCATCATATGGGCAATGCTTCTACGGCTACGGCCGTACATAGGGCATAGGACAAACTACGTGCCGTGTCTAACTTTATAGCATTTAAGATTCCCATTCTCCGTTAACACAGTCTTTCATCAAACATCTTCTCCAACATGCCGTTCCACCCTAGCTCGCTCCCAGATCTCCAAGGCAAAGTCTTCATCGTGACAGGAGGAAACTCAGGCATGTAAGTCTCCCGCATGGATGTCGCGATAGTCGCATTTGTCTAATTCGCTCAAAAACAGTGGCTACTATACCGTCGCACATCTGGCAGAACATGGCGCGCATGTGTACATGTGTGCTCGGAACTCGAAAAAGGGTACAGAAGCCATAACCGAGATCAAGAAGATGCATCCTGCAGCTCAAGTCGACCTTCTACAAATGGACCTCAAGGATCTCAAGAGCGTCGTTGCGGCAGCGCAACGCTTTCTTACACTCGAGACAGCGCTGCACGGTCTTGTCAACAATGCAGGCATTATGGCAACACCATTCGAGCTCACAAAAGACGGCTACGAGGCGCAATGGCAGACAAATTATCTGGCGCACTGGGTATTCACACACCACCTCAAGCAGATGATGTTGGACACCTCCAAGACTCTGCCGCCCGGAAGCGTGCGTATCGTCAACATCACCTCATCGGGGCACTTGAGCGCCCCAAATGGTGGCATCAACTTCGAAGACCTGACACTGAAGGATGCTACTCCGATGATCCGTTATGGGCAAAGCAAGCTCGCCAATGTCCTGCACACTAAGTACCTGCATAAGGCGTACGGTCCAGGTTCCCCCAGCGCCCACAACAACGATGGTGAGATCTGGACGTCTTGTGTACATCCAGGCCTGGTAGAAACAAATCTCGCAGACGGAGTCGATAAGGCAGGCTTCATTATGACTAGTTTTATATCCGTCTTACGGATGACTGGCATGTTTTGGTCGGCAGACAAGGGCTCGTACAACAGCTTGTTCTGCGCTGCAAGTGAAGACATGAAACCGGATCAGAGTGGTGCGTATCTAGACATCTTTAACCGCTTTGGCGAACCATGGTGGGAGAGTGGTCCAGCAAAGGACGCCGAGCTTGCCGATAAATTGGAACAGCACACTCAGCAGATGATGGAAACCAACAAAGGACTCTGAACTAACATATCTGGATTGCTTGTACCTCATGTATTTCTTTAGTTGTTGAGTTAATTTGGAAACATATAAGACACTGCCAACATTCGAGGTACCACTCGGATGTGGCAATCAGAATTAAAGTAAAGTAAATCAAGCAAACCAAGCCATGAGCCCAGGTACAAAACAACAGTAGTACGATCCCAGACACTCAACCCCTTCACAACACTTCAACAAGCGGTATAAGAAGGTGTAGCCATCCAAACCAACCAAAACGAAGTATAGATGAACGGTAATACAACTTTACGATGTGTCGCTCCTTTGCCTTACCTTCAATGGTCTGGCTCCTGTGTTGTCCTCATAACCCCGTCCTTCAGCATATTCATCACTCTCATACACATGCTTTCGCTTCTTGCTCTCTTTTTGATGCACTGCTTTATAGTGCTCATTTCGTTTGTCCTTCCTCCCTTTGAAACCTCGTCCCTTCTTGCCCCCTTCTGGATTTCTTGAGCGTGGACACCCAGGCTCTTGACAAAAGTATTCAACACAGCGACCTGCATGCGTGTTGTCGTAGTGACGTTTGAAGTCAGCATGTCGGTTGAATGTCATGTCTTCCCCATTATTAAGACAGGTTTCCTTAAGACACTTGAATTTGCCTGACAGGGTTACTTGGCCGATAATTGGATCCGTTCTATTAGTTGGCGGGTCAGATTTATGGCGCCGGCGTCGATTAGCATGCGGCGGGCTGGTAGGCGAAGATAGTGTCGGAGAACGTGAGCTTTGAGGTGAGGGACTGTCCCTGACGACGTGCTGAGGTGATATCATACGACTAATCATGATGAGTACATGGATAAATCTCCAGTCTTCTGGTCTAACTTACAGTTGGTTCTGATGTGGGACGTGTGTATCAAATGGTTCTTGTGGAGCACGGGAACTAGACCCAAATGTGGACAAAAGGTTCGAGCTTCTGAGGCATAGACGTTAGAATGAACTCTGATGGAACTATGACCAAACGACCAAGAAAGCAGGATATCCTCGTCGGTAGGAACAACAGATAAAGACAGTCTAATTGAGTGGAGTATGGATCCACTATGTGCGTTGACCATGGAGGCGATTGACAATTGTTTCGCATACTCCGGGCTTGTATCAACGTTAATGAAGGATGGACCAGATATTTTGTGAAGAGTATTGCGTCTTGTGACTAGGCGATAAATAGTAAGACAGCTGAAGTTGGTGGCTGGCTGACGGGTCGTCATCTCATGATTGGTCAGCCACACCTTGTGCCGGCCAAGGGTTTGGATAGAGATTTCTGATGATCAAGCCTTCCATTAGATTTTCCGCGCTTATTGAGCTTTGCTGTGTACTCGTTTGACAAGAAACTGTACAACGGAGCCTTGGGGCGATGGAAAGATGGCAGAAAGAACTAAAGAAAAACTAGACGGACTGTACCTTTAGTGTAATTTAGTCGATGGATTTCTTTGTGCGTCATGGTGGCATAATCCTGTCCAATTCGGGAGGGGTGAGCATATGGACTTGGGGCAGATGCGTAAGGAAGTCATGTGCAATCTTGCCAGGACTGGGTAGATCCTCTCGCATTACACCTGGGTCTCGAAGAACCGACGTTGGTGCCCTGGGTTGGCGATCCTGAAGGTGTACAGTATGACCGGAAAACCAGGTGATTGTCGTAACCACTTGCGCAACTGGTCTGACGGCCGAGTATCTGAAATCGTCCATGGTCTGGAGACGAGCGGCTGAGAGGTGCTTCCAAGCAGAGTGTTTGCGTTTATAGACGATAATGCTGCTTCTGAACTGATGGAGCAGATTTACCTGACGATCATGCAACGGTCCTTGAGCTTGTTCGATTCATGGGGAGTTCACATAGTCGTTAGACTACGGGAAAAGAATTCTGACATGGTCGAATGCAATGTCGCCCTTGGAAAGAATTGAGAAGTAACCATGGCTCAGAGTTTAAGCTTTTTGGGTTTATGTATAAAGTTCCTATGCGTGGATGTATTTCCGTATGACGACCATGGGATCCAGACTCCAGGAAGTGGACATCACCAGGGTTCTGATGGATTACAAGAGAATCTTGTGGCTTATTGATCACACGTTGGATAGTTTAAAGAGGACTTACTCGTTGTCGTAACCAATCTGACCAAAAGCTCTATCTTCGTCCTCATCTCCAAGCACACCTTCGCCAGGGGTGACGTTGATTGTGTAGTCAAAAGGACTTATCGCAGTGGTTGAAAACTGATCGTAATTCATATTTGGCGAAAGCTCAGATGACCGCCTAGTGTGGAAGTGGCCGGTCTGAGAGTGAGATGGTAACGGGTAAGGCTGGAGTGTCGTACGCTGGCCCGCTGACGTGCTCGAGATGGAGCGAGACATTTCCGACCCATTTGTGACCAAAGTGCTACCAAATGATCCGCGTGACGATCGCTGTAGGCTGTGAGGGTGTGGCTGCTGACCGGAAGATGTGGAAGAGTATTGAGATGCAGAGCGGGACATTCCGTTATTGACCGGATGCTGTGAGTAGATATTGGGGCTGTGTAGATTTTGGTGTAGGTTTGCGTAAGGCTGAGGCTCAGCCTGGTGCTGCGAGATCGAATGCCGTGGGGTATTTAGCGATGAGCATGAGAAGAATGAATCATGCCGTTGATGTATCGCGGGCGAAAGCATCTGCTGGCTATCTTGTCGTTGCAAGGACAATTCAGCAGCGTTCGGATCGCTGAGGTCGATGTAGACTCCTTGACCGTTCATCAGGTCGCGCAGGTTTTCTGCCCCGCTGAAGTATGTGTTGTTGGCCATGTTGATTCGGCCTGCAACTATGATAAGCCGATGAGATGACACTAAAGGCTAGTGCACGGTTTGGAGGATAGTAGTCGCAGGTATTGTGCTGGGCTTGAATGGAAGAGCGCGAAAGCTTCATGGAAACTTGGGAGACCAAGCGGCCATATACAAAGTAGTGAAGCTTGCTAGGGCGAGCGCCCTGTCCATTTTCCTTTTTGAAGGACCTCTGCAGCAGGCTAGCATAACATTAGCTTCGATGTGGCTGTTCGCGCTGAGGCATATCGGGACTTTTAGGCAAACAAGGCAGCGCGGCTTACGCATGTGTTGTCGTTGAGAGGGCTGCATTTAGAGCGCGACGGTAACCAGTAGCCACCTCGTTATAGTATGTCATAATCTCCGCAATATACGGGACTTATCTGCGAAGTGAGGTTCTTAAGCTTAGGAAGTTGTAACCGTTCACAGTGAAGGCTGTGCATGGCAATCTTTCCCTAGTCGAAGGCATAACAAACGAGACAAGGAGCATCCGGTCAGAAGAAGACAAGGTGATCTTGAGTGAGATAGTAAAGATGCCACATTATTGATGTAGTGTATGTATCGTGACGCAGGTCCGGCATGGGTCGTGATTTGGTGAGGCATACCTAGAGAAGTGAGAGAGCCGCATCATCACATGCAAGCAGAAAACGGCAGGAGCATCCGACGTGCGCCTTCATGCGCCTCCGTTCGCCTCACCTTTTCTCGACGTCCTTCAAAAGCTAGCCGTTACACTCCAATCCGGTCTCGCCATCGGCTTCCAGTTTAGTTTTCACGAATCGCCATCCAGACCATGATCGATCATTGCATTTCTTTTGCTCAACTTCTCACTACGTTGGTGGCGTTTCACGCCTTCACACTCCAGACCTTGATACTAGCATCACCACCCGCCGAAATCACCTTGTTCGCCTTTTCCCACGCAACACCATTGACCCCATCTTTGTGCGCATTGAGAGCCTTGATACGCTTGCCAGGGTCTTCAGTGCTCCAGACCATGACATTCGTATCCAGACTACCACTTGCGGCATAGTTCTCACTCTCATCCCAGGCCAGACAAGTGATGCGAGCGGTATGTGCACTCCATCTGTCTGTAATGATTTTCCAGTCTGCGTCTGCCTCGTATGCGTAGATCTTGCCGTTGCCAGCACCTACTGCTAGTTTCTTTCCTGAAGCGGAAAAGGCAAGTGCAGAGATGGGTGCGGTTGCGCGGCGGAGCACTGTTTCTGTGTCTTTGAGCTCGGTGCCCGAGAGTGTGTATATGTGTACGAGCTTATCGTCTCCGCCAACGGCGACAGTAGAGCCATGCGCCGCGATTGAGGTTGGCGAATACTTGACTGATAACGAGCCAACCTTTTCGCCCTTGGAGTATATTGCTATCGCATCAGCCGATAGGATCAATACAGTGCTCGATGTTGCAGCAACGCCCTTGGGTTGAAACTTGAGATCGTGAGCCTCCCCAGTGAAGATCTTGTCTGGAACTGACATGGAACGCAACGTGTCATCCCAACCAACACTGTACAACTCCGCCTCACTCTTACTGTCGGAAGTTGTGATGCCGGCGACGTAGCTGGAGTGTGCTGCGCCTTCGACCTTGTCGGCCAATCCGGTGGTAGTGTCCCATGCTAAGACGCGGCCCTCGTAGCTTCCTGTGGTGAAAGTGGATCCAGCAATGGCTGCTGCTGTGATATTCTTCGCATGGCCACGAACGACACGCGTTGGCTTTGGGTTGCCGTCGACGAGGTAGTTCAAGTTTCCCTCGAGGTCTACACTGACGATCAAACCGTCGCTACGGCCTGTGGGCCATACCACACCGACTTGCTGGTCGGGTATACTAGCGACGCCTTCTTCGCCCATCCTCCAGGTCTGAATGTTCTTGCCCGCTTCAGGGTCCCATATACGGACAGTTTGATCCGCGCTGGCTGTAACAAACTTGCTCGAGTCCTTGGACCATGAGATGCCGAAGATGCTGCCAGTGTGTATTCCTTCGCCAATTTGTCCCTTGGCCTCTCCAGTCTTGCCATCGTATAGCCATATGCGCTTGTCGGCGCCAACACTAGCGAAGACAGAGCCGTCAGGTGAGAAGGCGGTGCCGAAGACGAAGCGGTTGTGCTGCCCTCTGAGACTGGTGTTGAACTTGAAAGGAGCGCCATGGTAGAAGACCAGACTGGTGTCGTCGGAGCCTGTGGCGGCGCGAAGCGGTCGTTGCTGGCGGATGGAGACGCAGTTGATCTGTGAAGAGTGTCCCGAGATCTCACCCACGCTGTTACCGCTGTCTGCTGTAATGCAGTGTCCGAAACGCTCTTTGCCATCGCCGACTGCTATGATACGCTGCGAGTCGCCGTCCCATGCCAAGTCATTGATGCGGCCAGCGATGATGTGGTAGTCACCTGCATGGTCATCAGTTTTCACCCTTGATCAACCGCTTTTGTCCGCCCACCTTTTGTAGCTCCTTCACCTGCACAGTCCCACACCTTCACAGTACCCGACACATCTCCACTGGCAACGTAGAAGCCCGAAGGGGAGAAACGGGCGACGGTCGTCTGTGTTGTGTGTTGCGTGTATTGTTTACTAACAGCCGGATCGTCGATGGAGCGAAGGAAGACGGATTTGCCCGACTACAATGGTTCGATTAACTCGAGAACAGCTGCCGTTTGTTGACAGACTCACGGCATAGGCAATACGTTCGCCCTTGGGGTCTGAGGACAGAGGTGTTGCTTGTCCACGCGTCGTGGAAGGGGACGCTGCCCAGATGGCCTCTATTTACGCTTAGTCGCTGCTACAGTAAGCCATTCTGGAGCTCATACCGGATACTAGAGACATAATGCGCGCAAAAGAAAAGGATCAGTAGGCAAAATAGGGTATGGGTGATGCACAATGGAGGTGGTGCCTGCCTGGTAGCTTTGGCGGTGGCCTCTGCTTCGTCACCGCCTACGTTTCAGCGACAAGCCACGAGTCGCGGGGCATGTGGGGGTGGCTCTAACATGACAGCTCAATCCTAGGGTAACTACTTCGCAGCTTTCACTGTCACGAAGACTCGGTCCCACACATCACCAAATGTGAATCTTCTGGGTATCGTCGTCTTCTTTGCATGTTTCCAATCAAAGTTGCCTGTCGTTATCAGAGCTAGGTTCAAAGGAGGGTGCTGCTGGGGCTGCATCACTAGCCAGGAGTCTGTAACAAGAGGACCCCAGGATCATATGCATAGGTCTGGACTTCACCGCCGCCTGCATATAGACATATGGTGGTGAAATAACGAGGTTGGTAAATTGAGATACAACCTTGGAACAACCCGGTAGATCTTGGCGCACGTCATTTCCGACGCGTCCCATCTACGTCGTATTAGTTTAGGAATCAATAAATCTACTACTCTGTGGTACTTTGAGTTCCGGTACATCAATTGGTCTTTCCGCACCTGTCCGCCTCTTTCGCTTTTTACTATCGTGTCGTTCGTTATTAAACGTCATCATACCGGGAACCCGGCAGCCGGAAACCACGAGCCTCAACAACTTTGGCGTATCATCAACATCATCATCAAAGAAGAGCAGGAACACCAAACATCATCACCATGTGTATTATGAAGACTTACGAAACACGCGGCCGTGGCGTCGTCGACCCGCCACCACGACGAGGGAACTTTACCTCCCATCCACCAGCTGGCGTTATGCGTCTACCACGCGACTGGCAGCGAACATCTGTCGAGAGCTTCAGCGATAATGGTCGCTACGTCGAGTACAGGTTTGTGGTTCATTACGTCAAAAGCGCCAACGTCTCGTGCTCATACCCTCTAGACGATCCCGATCTCGACCCCGTGCAATTGAGTACATCGAAGAGCCTCGTACGCGCGCGAGGAGCCGCGCGAGGAGTGTGTCCCGTCGACGCGTTAGCGATGTTGAGATTGTCAGGCCAGGAAGAACGAGCTATGTTGATCCACGTGGAAGTTACGTGGACGAGAGGGTTACGAGGCGAAGTGTCAGCCGTGTCAGGCATTGATCGTGCTCGACAATCGCACACAAAACTGGGAGTTTACGTATGTGTGATGCATGATTAGAGCGAGTATCTGAGTTAAGTGCTGACTCAGTAGTGCGAGGACTAATTTTGTACAAACGGGATACATTGGAGAGTTGGTAATTACGAATGACATGATTTTATGATTTTGAATACAATCCGCCCTTCTGACATATATCCCATCTATCATGCGTAGCGCAAAAGTACCAGAAGCTCTCATCCGGAGATAAAGGCTAGCTTGCGTCTTAGGGTACCATGATCCCTGTCACTTTGTGGGGCAACGCTCATCAGACTCATACCTCAGCATCACCTTGAATCGTGGCATAAATAGAACGATCCCTTCGTCCTGCAATCAGATAAGGAACTTCGAAGTATCATTTCCGTAATCTTGGCCGCTGCCTCAACGCCATGGCATCGCACCCCATGCAACGATGCTGCGTCGTCGGCGTAAAGCACGAGGGGAAACCTCAAGGAGTGATCAAACAAATCGATAATATCCGCACATATTTCGCCTACCCAGAGGATAAAGACCCAGAACAAGCGATAGTTCTCATGACCGACGTCCTCGGCATGGACTTCCCCAACACCCAGCTCATCGCCGACCAATTCGCACAAAACGGCTATCTAACACTCATACCCGACGTTTTCAACGGCCATCAAGTGTCCTTTCCCATCGACCCATCTTTTGACCTGCAAGAGTATGTTGACACCACGATGCCAAAACCGGAGACTGTTGATCCAATGTATGAGCGCGTAATCGGATATTTGAGGAATGAGTTGAGAATCAAGAAGTTAGGAGGCGTGGGATATTGCTTTGGGGGCAAATATGTGTGTAGATGGTTGAAGGAAGGCGGCCTAGACGCAGGATTTATAGCTCATCCGAGTTTCGTCACTTCAGACGAGATCCGCAACATCAAAGGACCGCTAAGCATCGCTGCTGCAGGTACGTTTTTTCCTCGAAACAAATTTCGCCATTACTAAAAGAGAAGAAAAAGAAGAATAACAAGAACGACGCGTGCTAACATTGACCCCAGAAACCGATGACATCTTCCCCGCTTCAAAACGCCGCGAGACAGAAGACATTCTCAAAGAACATACCGTCCCATACCAGCTGTTTCTCTACTCGGATGTCGAGCACGGATTTGCGACAAAGGGCGATTTATCGCATGAAAAGGCGAGATTTGCAAAAGAACAAGCGTTTCTGCAGGCGGTGTACTGGTTAGGCGAGTACGTAAAGAAGAGGCCAGGAGTGTAAACAATAAATCAGAGTTGTATAGAAACAACGAGGCGATCGAGACCAGGAAAGGCGTTGGAGGTATTAGGGATAGTGTCCACGATGATCACATCGCCAGAAGATGTGTGATGAATAGGATCATCGATGGAATTACCGACAATGCGAAGTTCCAGAGATTCTTCTGCCCCCTTCTCTTCTAGCACTATGTCTCTCTCTGTGCGCGAGATTGCATGCTCCAGGCCCTTATCAGTCTTGTCACATGGCCACATCTGCATATCGTCCTCGCTCAACGAGAAGATCCGCTCCGGATATGCAGTCTCGTACGTCTTGGACAAGGGGGATGCCATCAACACAGCATCCGTGTGGGCGCCCGGGTGAACATCGCGTGGTCGAAGGCGGTCCATTACCGTATCGATAGTAGTCAGCGCCGCCCCAATCACCCAGACACAGAAGCTGATGGCGAAGTATACGACGAGAAACAAAGCCACAAGGAGACAGCCCCAAAGATAGCCTGTGAGAAGACTATCCAGTATCTCATTGGCTGGCGGAGAGGTTGACAGTGGTATGTGGTCTCCGGTTCGATCGATCTGTGGTCGGAGCATGATGGCTTGGTAGGGGAAGAGAGGTGGCATGTTTGGTTGGTATGGCGGTAGAATAGGTCCGAGTAAAGTTCCGATTTGTTGTCCAGTGTAGTGTACCAGCGGTATTGATACTTGTGCTCAAAAGTAGTCGTTGCACCACCTTGGTCAGAGTCTGCAAACGTTGCAAGAGGACTACGAGACGATATGCAGATTACATCTGCGTTTGATCCTCTGGAAGTCGCGCCTAACGATCACTGAGAGGGCGCCACTCATCTCCAGAGGGATGTGTAGGCTCATCACTCTTTCTTACCATGTTCAACACCAGCTCTTCCTTCTTCCCCACTCCTTCGTTCCTCCTCCTTGATCTTCCCAGCCCACGGCGGCTCCCCATCCTCATCAAACTCTGCCCACTGGAAAAATCCGCAGCTCTCCCTCCCCGGCACATAACCTGCATGACACATCCACATGTACCTGCCTCTACTCTCCTTCTTCCTCGTCGCGCACCTCAACACAGTCGGAACATCACACTTGCACTTTGGCGTATACCTCGGATGCAAACTATCCTTGTAAAAACGATACGTGATATTCAGCCGTTTATTCTTTGCAAGTGGGTGAGGATCGATAGCTTGAGCCGGAGCTATCGAGTGTTTCCATTCCTCCTGCATCTCGGCGTGCATGACCAGGAGCGAATTGTGCGGCAGGTGGATGCTAATCTGGCCCTGCGCATCGGCCAGTGAGCCGTCTTGTTTGCGGTGCACAGAGTCGTCTTCGGCGAGGATCTTGCGAACGCGGAATTCGCGCGCTACTCCCAGGCTTAGACTGCCAATGATGGCTCTTGGGCCAAGGTAGGTCAATTGATCCGCGTGGTAGCCGACGCTTTCTTGTGGTCCATCGTAGCAGTTCACAAAGGCTGTGTTGGCTTTCCATGGGTGAGGGGATTGGTATTTGAGTTTCTTGCCGGAGGGGTAGAAGTCGCGGATCCTGCGTTGGATTTCGCGGTTGACGGCCTCTTCAACCTGGGGACATGCGTTGAGCATTTCTGATGTGCTTTGCCGCACATCCTGGCCGATGTTAACATTATGATGCTGACTCTTCTGGGCTTTCTCACCTCGAGCTCGCCGCCGTTGTAAATGTACTCCGTCTTCTGTTTTTCTGCCTCTTCTAGGCTGTTGACGTAGAAGGAATACGTGTGCGGGCTCAAAACTACTCTTTCGAACAGCTTGAACTTATACCTATTGTACGAGGACGCTTCTTCCAACAATTGAGACAGCAGTGCTTCTGCTTGCTTTGCGGGGAGGAAGTTATGGATGATGGAGCAAGGCGTGTGTGCTTCAACATCCTCTGGGCTGTAAAGAAACAGTGTCTTCCCTTTCTTTACCATTGGCTTTTTCGTGGATGTCCCGTTGGCCGGAGTAATGCGATACGAGCTCAACGATGATTGATAGCCAACTGTAGATGATGCAGGCCGCTTCCTCGGCTGCGATAACAACTCCGAGGCTTGTTCCACATGTCCATCAGCGGCGAGCAATGCTTCAAGCAGGGTGCCTTCGTCGAGTTTGGGGTGTAGAGATGCCAGTATAGCCAGCTTGAAGTCGGTAGAGTCCTCTTCTTGCTGCACGCTTATATTCTCTACCGACTTTGGTGATTGTTCAGCCCACTTCCTCTTTCGCGACACGAACGCGTCCATGTCGATTGCAGTTGATCACGATGGCACTCATAGTGTCGTGATGATTCGCTAACGCATACGGAGCTCCTGATGGTGGCGACCGTTACAGCCAGACGCGTTGTCACGGGACAGCCCGAGTCCCGATGCAGCCCCGCCATATCCAAAGCGCCAGGCCTCGGTCTCGTCCACATCGTCATCTGCAACCATGCAGCAGCACAACACCAGCATTTCATCCCAGCGCGACATGACGCGCCGACCCCTACATATACTTCACGCGCCATAGTCTGCTACCATTATCCTCGTGGATTCTTCGTCATGCTCGAGTTTCGAACACAGGGCTTCAACGGCTACTCGGTCAAATACAGCCCATTCTTTGATTCCCGTATCGCAGTCGCAACCTCTGCCAACTTCGGGCTCGTCGGAAACGGACGACTGTACATACTAGGTCTTACAGCAAATGGCATAGTAGCCGAGAAGTGGTGCGTGGGACTCTTAGCACCCAGCTACTTTTCCCACGTCTTTCACATGCTAACATGCCCAACCTTAGGTTCGACACCCAAGATTCCCTCTTCGACAGCACCTGGTCCGAATCCCACGAGAACCAGCTCCTGACTGCCTGCGGCGACGGCTCCGTAAAACTCTTCGACATCAATGTGCCCACGTACCCTATCGCCTCGTGGCAAGAGCACGCCCGCGAAGTCTTCGCCGTGCATTGGAACCTCGTGGCCAAAGACACATTCCTCTCCTCCTCCTGGGACGGCTGCATCAAGATCTGGAACCCCAACTCAGACGCGAGCATCACGACCCTACCAACACATTCCTGCACCTACTCCGCATCTTTCAGTCCGCACAACGCCAGTGTGTTGAGTAGCGTATCGTCAGACAGCCACCTCCGCGTCTTCGATTTGCGCACACCAGCGAGTGCGTCCAACCACCTAACCATGAACGTCCCGATACACCAACCGCCCAAGGCGCGCATGGGCCAAGCAGCCAGTGTTGGAATCGCGCCCGCAGAGGCCTTGACACACGACTGGAATAAATACCGCGATACCATTGTTGCAACAGCCGGTGTGGACCGTGTGATACGTACTTTTGATATTAGAATGCCGCAGGCTGGACCCGTTGCTGTTCTTCCAGGGCACGAATATGCGGTAAGGAAGTTGAGCTGGAGTCCGCATTTATCTGATATTCTACTATCTGCGAGCTACGACATGACGTGTCGGGTGTGGACAGATGGCAGTGCCATGGGTGTAGGGTCTGTGAAGCAGGAGAATATGCTGGAGGACCCGATGTTTTATGGCGGAGGGAGGGAGATGGGGAGGATGGGGAGGCATACAGAGTTTGTGACGGGTGTGGATTGGTGTCTGTTCGGGGCGGAAGGGTGGTGCGCCAGTACGGGATGGGATGAAAGGGTTCTGGTGTGGGATGCGAGGGCTGTTATGCAATGAGACGACCAAAGCCTATGCACAACATGAAAGAGGTTTGTGAGATATAAACTGTTCTTCATTCAACTACGTAGGCGAAACAATAATACTCGGCGATATACACACTGCGAGCTATGCTACCGAAAACAAAGATCCCCAATAAGAAACAAATAAATAGGGTATCGTCCCATGATCGCGCCTTTATCAACCCCTCAACACCGTTGCCATGCAGGAAAATAACCCCAAACAACCTCGAAACGCCCACCAATGCTCAAGCGGTGCAAGCAATCTCTCCTCCTCAACAAGTCTAGTAACGCCTCCATGCATCACCCACGTCCCTCTACAAATATTTTGTCCCTCATCTTCTCCACCTTCATTCCGTGACCGTACCTCTGAGCCATGCTAAAGATCTCCAAGGTTCAAAACATCATCGAGCGCATCGTCCATCTCGGCCATGTCCTGCACACTACCACCTTGCCAATGCATACCCACTTCGTCGTCAATCTGCATGGGGTCCCCGAAATCGATCGTCCACGTCTCACCATTGAGATCAAGTTTCCCTGCATTGCCGATACCATTGATGCCATTTGCGGTGCCGGTGCCGTTGATACCAACGCCATTCGTTAGCACGGGTTTCCGGGGCGGATCGTAAATGTCCTCGATGCCTTCGGTGTCGAGGAAGCGCGAGTTCATAACTGAACCTGCGATGAAGGGTGTTTGTCCTAGATACGAGTCTCCCAGTGCAAGCGCTAGACGCAAGTCTTCCATGCATAATAACTTTCTCTTCCGTCGCTCTTCGGCTTCGACGGGTAGCTCGCCTGCCGTGCCCCTTGCCAATTCACCCCGTTCGACAAGGCGTTCTTCTCTCGCAAGCTTCTTCTTGAATTCGCCCGTTCGGACGTACCCGGGACCGTTGTTGGCGACCTTTCCGAGTAAATTTGCTAGCGCTTCTTTGATGTACGTTTCCGTTGCGATGTTGAGGTAGTCAGGACAATCAGATGTGTGACCCTGAGGCAGACCAAACTCGTAGCATATAGGTAAGAGCCGGTAGGATATGGTAGTTGCCGTAGGGAACTCGTGGGTTTCGACAGACAGGGCCGAAGTGTAGCGTTTGCGAATTTCGAGTTCCCAGTCTATTCGTCGTGTTAGTTCACTTCACGCCCTGCTGTGAAGAGAATAGAAATGAAGGTATACGTACTGGTCTTTCCAAACCCACCCCCCTGATTACTGCTTGGACCAACATCCAACTGCTTCGCCCGTCTCGCATCAACGTACTCCTGCGCCGGCCCATTGGCGCCGCTACCCGCGCCCTCCAACCCCGTACTCAGCGGGCTTTCCCCAGCAGGTATGCCCTTGAGCCTCTTTCTTTCCCTGCGACTCAACTGCATAACCTCATGCTTGAGCCTCTTCTCGCTCTCATCCCCCGTCCCCTTGACCGTCCCGCTTGTCGGCTTATCACTACTCGACACCCAGCTCGCGATGCCTGCTTCGGGCGGATCGCGCCATATGTTGGCGTAGATGGCTGTGAAGAGAGCATTGTGAGCGTGTTCGAGGGCGGGCGTGGTCAGGATCTTGCCGAGCTTGTGGGACAGCTCTTCTTGATTGAGGTTGCCGAGGAGGAAAAAGGAGAGGGTCTTCTTGTACGTGGTCCAGTCGACATCGCTTATCGAGCCCTTGACTGCCGAGTATAGGGGCTCGACGTCTATGCGGGGGGCGCGCGGCGCGTTGGGCTTCTTGGTGAGGTCGGTGTTGAGGGATGTGAGGTTGGGCAGGGTGCCGGTGGAGAGTGTCGGCGTGGTCGAGACATTCATGTCATTGGGCCGTATCGTGCCTGCCATGATGGCCGTGGATGCGCGCCGTCGTGGCGCTCAATGCGTGGGAATGGTTGCGCGTTGCGAGATGGTCGCGCAGCTGGACGGGTGCGCGTGCGGATTGCGGAGACGGCCACAAGCGGCGGGAGAGCGACGGTGGGGCGTGGACGACTCGATAGAGGCGTCGATAGAGTCGCGCGAGGGTTGGTAAGTGTTCCCCGATGACGGGCAGATGCAGGAGGCGTTGTGCGGGGCCTACGCTGATGGACTGGCATACAGGCGTGGAGAGCGTGAGGTCAGAGCTCGGGGGTCTTGCGGAGTTGTTGCTGGGGGCAAGCTAACGAGTCCCATGAAACCCCCAACCTTTGCACATCTCACACATCACTCCAAGGTCAGAGTCAGATTGTTAAACTTTGAATTCATTCGCTATGCAGCTGCACAATAAGATGAAACCACCTCTTATACACTACCGTCCAAATGCCAGTGCAGTCGCTTTTGTACCATAAACACCATCCTGTTTACCATACGGCTTCACCAGTTTTCATCAAGCACATCCCCCATCTACCACAGAACATCCCTAGTTTTCACCAAACACATCCCCCAACTCCACCTTGCCCACACTCCAAATCTCCCTCTCATCCTCCATCTCATCACTCGACAAGCCCAAACCACCCGCTCCACCCTCAGCTTCTTTCCTCTCCCTAGCCTGCCCAGCCAGCCTCATAGCCACCCTCTTGAAGTAGTCTCCCATACTGCGTTGTTGACCGGCCGACAGCGTCTTTCCAGGCCCAGCCATGTACTTGTCGAACACAGCAGCCTCCTCATCCACAACCGAGAAGATAGCAAGGAACGCTGCCTCGGCAGATAGCTTGACTGGGATAACAGGGTCGCGAACTGATGCGAAGACCACTGGGATGAGTAAGGGAATATGCGGACGGACAAGGTCATTGTGCTCGCGCGCAACTGTGCGCAGCACCACGAGTGCCAATCGCCTTGTATCCACAGGATGTCCAGGCTCAACCACTGGCGCCAGAGCCTCGAATATAGGCTTGGTGTGGTCGAAGCTCTTGTTGCTCTTTTCCGAGAGCAGATATTTACCAGCGGCGAGAATAGAGTTGTCCGAGATGAACGGCTGTGCGTGGCTGATTCCTTGGCAGATTACGGATACGGTGTCGTCTGCAAAGGATTCTGTCAAGGCTTCTGGGGCATCTAGCAGGATGGCGTTGAGTGCCAGGACAGAAGCTTTGTTGTAGTGGGTAGTAAGTACTCTGGCCTTGAGCAGGCTGGACGCGATTTCCTCCGGGAGACAGCTGATAAGAGCGCCCAGAAGTCGAGCGTTTGTTATTGCCATTGCATCTGTATTGTGTCAGTAACTGTAGACAGGGTCAAGTCTCTACTGAACTTACCATTAGAATCATCGCTTTCGTTATCGATGAGACCTAAGATGGCATTCCTGCTTGCTTCGCTCATGTTCTTGCCTGCCTTGCTCACCACCTCAAACAAAGCCTTCAACATAGCCGTCCTGACATTTTCGTCGGCTGTCTTGGATCCAGTCACCAACTCAGCGATAAGCGGATCAACTCTCGGTGTAAGCTTGATCAAGGTACCAAGAGCCTTTGCCGCACGCGCTCGCAAGATATCTGAAGAAGTATCCGCAAGCGACTTGGCGAACGTGCGTTGGAGTTGGGGCAAGAAAGGCTTGAGGAAGGTTGGGATCTTCTCAAGCAAGTTGTTGAGTGTGAGCAGGATAGCTGCCTTGACTTCGACAGAACGCTCGGTAACCACACGAATGAGAGGTCCGGTAATCTGAGTGACAAATGGCTGCAGTGACTTTGCGCTGGTGCGATCGATGACATCGGAAATGGCCAGAGCACCTTGGACTCGCTGGTCTACTGAACCATTCATGAGACCCTGCAAGAAGATAGGCAGGATAGCGTTGATGCCCTTGGGAAGCGAGAATCCAGGGAGATCTGCACCAGCAACACCAACTTGGTTGAGTGTCTGGCGAGTCGATATAACAAGCGACTCCATCTCTTCCTTCCGCAGACGCTTGCTCGTAAGAGTGCTGAGCGCAGTCCATGCAGCCTTGACAACCTCTGTATCGCTGTCGCCAAAGGAGATGAGGAGTGCGCGGATGAGGTCGGGGTAGTATCTTGAAAAGTCGACGTCGGCGTCTGCGAAGAACTTGGCCAAGTGCATGTCGGCACGCGCACGTCTCCGCTCATCATCATGTTTCGACAACGCCAACATGACGCTCATGGCAGTATTAAGACCATCAAACTCATCCACGGACAGCAGTACCGTGTCGAAAGCTGTCTCGAGCTCTGACTTGAGCTCCTCGTCCTTGGACGCGATGACGTTGTCCATCATGGTGTTGAGGATGTTAGGTAGTCTTCGGGTCATAGCGGAGCTTGCAACCTCAGCCAACGACGCAATAGCGCGGGCATTGAAGGCAGACATAGGCGAAGTAAGCAGCGTAGGCAGAAGGTTTGGTAAGATAATGTTGGACCGCGCTTGATCTGTGAGGAGGGTGAGAAGCGCGGAGAGCGCGTTCTGCGCATCGTCATCCGAACGCAGAAGGTTGAGTAGGTAAGGCAGAACCTGGTCGACAGCCCTCTTACCGAAGATCTGTTGCAAAGCATCGAAGGCTTCGGCGGCTGCTTCCCGCACGTCCGCGTTGGGATCCACCAAAGCAGTTCGAACAACCTGGATAAGAGTCTTCTCGTAATCTTCCAGCTGCTCTGGCGAGGCGGCTGCGATGAGCTCGCGAAGGGCGATACAAATACCCTGCTTGGCGTCTGTATCGGTGGTGTGTAGACCTTCTTCGAGCGTTGGCAATAGAGTGGCGAGTACACCATCTCCTGCCTTTCGAATGAGCTCTCCAAGCGCGTTTCCAGCAATGACCTTCTGCTCCATGTTTGAGCTTGCCAAACGACGGATGAGAAGTTGGGTGAGTGTAGGGATAAGCTCGCGTAGAGTACGTGGACTGGCCACCAATGCCTTCCATACGTTGATAGATGCTGTCCGCACCAAACCGGATGTGTCGCACCTGCAAATGTACAGTGCAGACAAGACCTTGTTGCGCTTCTCTTCTCCGAGGACTTCGAGCAAAGATTGTCCGGCCTCCTTGGCGCCCTCTTCGACTTCCTCCTCTTCCACCTTGCCACTGATACCAGTGAGGTTGAAGAGTAGGTCTCCAACAAGCTCGACGGAGCTGAGACGAATCCTGTAGCTGTCGTCTGCAAGACCTCTCTCCAGCTCAGGTAGCAGCAAGTCGATAGCTTTGGTAGCAAAGTTCTTGACCAAGAGACGACCAGCGCGCAGGGCAGTCTCTCGAATCGATTCCACATCGTCTGCAAGACCGCCAAGAATGGGAGGGATGATCTTGCTGAGGTAGTTGGCGAAACTGTTTCCGAAGCAGACCGGCAAGAAGATGAACAACGACATGAAGCCTTCGCGGACAGAAGCCCTGTTGCTGGCCACGTTCTGCAGGATACTGGGTAGTGTCTCCTCCAGGCGTCCAGTTCCGAGACCGGCGAGGACTTCTGAAAGAGCTTGGGCAGAACCAAGACGGTCTCCAGCACCTGTGTCGGACTTGAGTGTAGACATGAGACTTGGAATGAGATCTGGTAGGGCATCCTCTCCAAGCTTCTCCACTAGGGATCCGAGCGCCTTTGAAGCAGTAGCACGCGTAGCCGGTACAGGGTCCACAATCGCGACCCTTAGTCCAGCGACCAAGATGGGCAGATGAGATGTGAGGTCCTTCCTTTCCGAAAGGTATGCCAAACTGCCAATGATTTGTGAGGACTTTCGCTTGGTTCCAGATCGATCGCCTAGACCTCGTTCCAGAATACGAACCACGAGAGCAAGAGAAGGCGCGTCGAGGAAATGTGCGAATTGAATCTTGATGAGAGCATCGAGGGCATCGTCTGTGTATTTGGTTGGGTCGCTGAGAGCCTTCAAGATGATGTTGACAACGCTCTTGATCTCGGGGTTGCTGATGACTTCACCAAATCGCTGCAAGCTTCGGTTGGCTGAAGCTCGTACTTCCTTGTGACTGTCTGTCAATACGACGGTAAGGGGCGGGATGATTTCTGGCAAGCTTAGAGCTAGCTGGCTGGGGTCTAGGTAGGCCATGGCTCCTAGAGAGTCGCAAGCACCCTTCTTGCTACGCCACTGATCCTCGTCGAGACCTTCCAAAAGTATCGGCAGAACCTGTCTGACACCAAAGGAACTAAGCGAGGAGAAGCAGGTCTTGGCAGCATCCAAGCAGGCTTCTCGAACGTCTGTACTAGTATCGCCAAAGCCCACGAGCAGTTGCGGTACTAATTGAATAACGTAGGGCTCGAACAGGCGACCGAGGATCAGGGAGAAGAGCTCATATGCCAGGTACACTCCCTGCCTTTGGTTGGGATCTTTCTTGTTCTCGCTAGCTCCTTTGAGCGTAGACATGATGCGATGTTCTTTGAGCAGACCCAGACCCTTACCACGTACGATACCCGCAAGACCATAAGCAGCACCGCGACGCGAGGCGTACTTCTTCGATGTGAGAAGTTGATCCATCATTTGGTTGATGTAGTTCGAAACCTCTTGTTCTGAGGTTCGTACCAGAGGTGGTAAACATTGAGCAACGGCGTATTGCACAGTCTCGGAAGGTGTACTGAGAGTCGCCAGCAGTCTTTGCACGACCTTCGGAACTCGCTCGTCGCCGGCAGCCAAGTGACGACCTAATGCACCATACAGAATAATGACTGCTTCGTTAACTTGATCGTACATCTCTGACTTGCGATCAGGAGCCTCGAGAGCGTTCTCAAAAAGCTCCATGAGAGGTTCGACCTTGGTTTGGGCTTTGACAGTGATCACCGAGGTTGCTGCTTCAATCAATTCTTCTCTCACAGCTGGGCTTCTGTCTCCCAAGGGGCCCTCGTAGATTAAGAAGTTCAAGAAATCCACAAGATCGTCGGGCTTGAAACCTGGTGTCATTTCCTTGAAGGTAAGCGCGATACCATCTCTGCTCTCCCAGGGGTCGCGTAGATCAACCTTTCGCGGCATGCCATATTCGTCACGCTCTGGAACGCGTGGCTTCGCCTTTTCTGCGTATGTCTCCCGAAGCCTACGTAGGATGTCGTCAAATGTATCAGGAAACTTGGTGATAACCTCGCCAATAGCTCGTGCAGTCGCCCTCCTGAGCGGTTTGTCGAGAGAGTCCAGGTAGGGCAGCAGCTGCACACCAGCATCTGCTTTAAGCTCTAGGTCGTTTTCTTCCCAGATTGTCCGGGCAAGCTCAGCATTCTCAGGCTCGTCATCGT